TTATATATATATATAGATATAGATATAGATAATAAATTTTATATCATTACATGAAGATCATTACATCAACACTAAATGATTTTTATTGAATAGCAATATTTATAGTTAAACTTATATTTGAAACAATTTGCTTGTATTGTAATTATATTTTAGAATTTATAAATTTTAATATGTTTAATAGTTTTATTTTTAATTTTAAATATTTAATGAAGTATATAATGTTCAACTAATGTTTAATAATTTTCAGAATGGGGTCTTGCTGGTCAAGACAAAGTTCGAACAAATGCTATTCTTTCTAGAAACTCTCAGCTTTCATCAGATTTAGAGGAAATTACTAATCAAATATTTGAAGCTGTCATGAAGGGTAAAAGTCAGATACATTTTGATGAACTTGGTACAGTTGATTTAGATTGTCACAAGCCAAAAAGAGTTCAGGTATATATCCTATTATTATTAAATTTATAAAAAGTTTTGTAACTAATTTGTGTTTGTGAACTTATTGAATAATGCTACATATAAATTGAAAACACAGAAAATTTTTAATGAATATAAAATCATATTAAAATTAATTCCAGGAAAGATTTTCCAAGTATAGTTTAAATTAGTTTTTGAAGCAATTGAATTAATTTAAATAAAATTAGATCATAAAAAATAAATTGTAAGATTTATCTCTATGAAGATAAAATATGATGGACAGCAACGGATTCAATGCAACGGAGAAAAATTTCAACATGGGATAGGTTAATATATTTTTTCGTACATAATAGGTTATCTGAAAAATAAGTTATCTGAACAACCCCAGTCCCCAATTGATTCGGATAAACAACGCTCTACTGTATAGCTAAATATATTAAAATAACTCTAATTTTTCATTAAAATATTTATGCATTGAAATATGCAAAATAATAATTCAGTCAGTTACACAATTTGCAGTGCTGAATAGCATATTTTCTATAAATTGATTATTTCTTATTAAAATATTTGTTTGGTTCTTGTTTACTAAATTATAATTTATTTTAGAAATGTTCTAAACTAAGGATCAGTTTTTATTTTATTTCATAGATTTATTATAAAATAAATTATAAAGCAAGTAAAATATTTCATCAAATAACATTGCAGAAATAAATATTATAATATTGTAAATTCACAAATAAACAATTGATGCAATATTTTAATTAATTATCTTTTTGTTTTAATCATTAAATGAAAAGTTTTATATCTGATAAAATGTATTTGCATATCAACTGATGTTAAAAGTTATTCATTATACTGGATAATTAATGAATATATAATAAAAATTGAGACAAATTTAGATACCAAATATAAATTCCATGGCATTGGTATCACGGATTGATTCCATTAATTAATTGCCAGACTAGGTTTGGCAATTAATGCAAACTGATCAATGTTAGAAATGGCTTTACAATTTAGTAATATGAAACTGTTCCTCAATGAGTAGTTCCTTGTGTTGTGATATTGTAGTAAAATTCTTATTTTTTACTACCATTCCATGTGCAGAATTTAATTACTGTTGATTACTTTTTGATTTGGCTTTAAAACTCTGCCAATGTTTTGCAACAGTGTATATTTCAGAATGTTACAATGTTATATATTTGAGAAAGAACATTATTTTAAATTCATAATTTTGTTAAATTTGGACCTAGAGTATCAGAATTGAGTATCTGTGATTTTTTTTTTTTTTTTTTTTTTTAAATTTGTTTAGGCTAAATTCAAATTTAGAAGTAAAACTGTATGATCTGATTTGTTTATATGATTCTAGTATTTTAATTTTTAATGAATATACAGATTTTATATTAATTAAAAATATATCTATGTAAATAAATTTTTAAGTATAATAATTAAATCTTTTTATTATTGTTGTTTTTTAAAATAGTTATATTTGCATTTTAATTTATCTGTATGTCTTTATTAATTTAACTTTTAGGGAGATTTTTTTATTAATTATTAACTGAACAGTTAATTTCAATAAATAATAGCTAACATTTCAAATTGATAATTTATGAATTTTAAAATTTTTTATTTATTAGCAAACTGATGATAAAACAGAAATGAAAACTTCTACTTCAAGTAATTCTTTTATGGGACTGGTGCGTCGGAATTCTGTTCATGTTGACAGTGATAGCCTGAATAGAAATAAAACTAAGTTACCATTTGCAAACAGAGCATCAGTTCATGAAAGTATGGGACTTAGAACGCAATTACCAAATCCAGATAAATTTCTCTTTACTCAAACTGAAGAAAGTAGTGATAAAGGTGATTTGAAAGATAATTCTGATGGTGAGTGTGAAATTATTTTCAGGAACAATTTATAACCTTCATGTGTTTTTGATACTGAACCTGAATCTGCAGCTATGTGTTATAAATTATTATTTTTCAGTTAAATTAATTAAACAAATTTAATTTTATTGAGTAATTCAATTATCCAAAACTTTAATTTTGTCTCATTTCTTATAATATATTTAAATATCTAACCTCAATGCTTTATAAATAATTTCAATGTAATGTTTATTCAAATTTTTTGATTTACAGTAAAAATAATTTCAGATTTATTAGAAGTTTGGAACAGAGCTCAACGCAGTCGGCTGGACGATCAAAGAGGAACAGAAATAAATTTTGAATTACCAGAATTTCTTAAAAATAAATCTGATCATCCTAACGGTAAAGAAAATTGTTTGAACATGGGTAATCGATTATCAGTTGATGCCAGAATTGGAGAAACAGTTAATAATAGTAAAATTGTATCAAAAGAAAAGAATATTTCACAGCTTCCATTTTCAAGTATTCAAAAAGAATTAGGCATATCCAGTTCAATGCATTGTCTGGATCATGGATTTAGTCAAGATACAATATTTCCAACACATCAGCAAGCTGAAAAATATTTTTCATCAACATTTGATTATCACCCTTGTTTTGGATATGGTGACATTAAATCATCTGAGAAATATCTATTGAATTTGGGTATTTCACAAACATCCAAAAGTGAGATGAAAAATAGACCAGTTCCTCCACCTCCAGGACATAAATTTCATTCACGTCCCACATCTCATTCTCTTCCTTGTCTTCCACCTCATATTTGTCCTACAACAAGAAGTCTTTCACTTCATTCTCAAGATCTTGCTGCTTCCAGGGCATCTCCTGCACGAAGTTTGGATGATCCAATTCTTGATGGTATTGAAGATTTAGACATAGATTTAGATGTCACATTAAAAGCACAGTCTTCTGAATGTAATGATACTCTTACACCATCAAAAATTCCAATGCCACCAGATTCTAACACATCTCTTCATGTAGAAGAAGCTAATTTTACTCCACCTTCTCCATTAAATGTTTCAGGAAATGATATATTACACAAAAATGAAATATTCCTTCCTCCACAACCTCCTCTTCGTAAATTATTATGCGAACCTCCTCCAATTCCACCAAAAGCTCAGTCTAGGGGCCCTCCACCAAGGCCACCAAGCAGGCAGCTCATTAACATAAATCCAAGTTATACTCAGACATCAGATGAAGATCATATAGAAGAAGACAGAACTGTCACAGAGAGGATTGCAAAATCTGAAGGAATTCAGCAGAAGAGGTCATCAAAATGTGGCTATGTAGACAGAGGTGGACCAAATAATTTTAATATTAGTTTTGTTTAAATGTTTATTAGGGCCCAGCAAAAACAAGACAGTTTGCATTAAATTGCAATTAAGAATATAAATGACAATCAACTGCAGCTTATTTACTTAAATTGGAAATTAGAGCTTGTTTCTTACTTGATTAACAAGTAAATTTTATTAATATAAAAAATAATAAATTAAAAAAAAGATTGGAAGTTATATACACTGTTTGATGTTAAACATTACTGAAATTTTGTAATTTATAAATATTATTTGATTTCTATATTTTTACTACAGAATATACTTTTTACTTGAATTTACGAGGATTATTTTTTTTCAATCTCCACTGACCCAGAATAAAAAAACAAGAATGCAGAACAAAACCACTTTATTTGTAGAATGTAGTTACAGTATTCACCTATTTTTCCACATAATTGCCTTGTCGATTCAGGCAGACATCATACCGTGACACCAGCTTTTGTATACTCATGTCGAAGAATGTTGCCTCCAAGGCCATTCAGCCAACCTTTAACACTGTCAGTCAGTGGTGTACAGTGTGGACTTTGAAATTTGAGGAAACTCTTCACTGAACTCAAAAAACGTGAACCAACTACTTTCTCACACCAATTGATCCACTTTGTCCACCAAATCGTCAGTCATCACACACTTCCTCCCTTGACCACCCTCATCATGAATGTTGTCATGTCCTTGTTTGAATTTCCTGCACCATTCACGCACACATCTGTAGCTCATGAGGTTCTTACCATACACAATACACATCCTTCAATGAATTTCACCTCCATTCAGCCCTTCGGCCTGTAGAAATTGAATTACTGCTCGTACTTCACAGTTGGCAGGAGACTGGATTGGCAGCATCATGTTTACGTGTTTACTGCAGAGTAGCAAATATCTAAAATAGCTTGGCACAATGCTAAGTGGTGAGGGAATATACTACTTACTAGGTGTGCACTCTGTCCCTGTCTCACATTCTTCCAATATTTTTTTTTTAAGTAAAAATAAGTTTACATGGCCAACGATTATTTAATATTAATATACTAAATATAAATACAACTTTCTTACAAAGAAAATTCTTGTTTCAGTCATTTTTTCGTTGTTCACACCATCAGCAGTTCATTAAAACACAAATACTCATATTTGTATATTTTTTTTTTTTTTGTAAATCTTTGTCCGATGACTATAATTTATGATTAATTTTTTTTTGAAGACAAAGTCCTTCCCAAAAAAGAGGAACCACCATTTATTAACTTTGTGTTCCAGACATTACACTTTTGGCAACTGACCTTCCCTTTTAGGCTATTTGCTGCCAAACAGTCCTTTAAAAAACACAAATATATATCCAATTAAAAATATAAACATTTTTAAAAAACAGGAACTGGTGATGTACGGAAGTCTTCTATTCTCCATCATACCTTCTTGGGGTTGTTTCGGCTTTTATCTACAATGAAATAGGCGCTGGTAAAATGTAGATGAGGAAAGCTGACCCCTGGTGACAATACTTTAAAATTTTTTTCATGTGTTTGTGGAGGTTGAAAAAAAATAACCCTTGTATAATGTACTTATTATACATCATAAATTCAAGCACATTTTCGCCTTAAGAATCATTCAGGCAGATAATTAGGAATATACTCAGAAAAGTAAAGTTATAAAGCAGTCTAAGCCTGCATTATAGTAGATTAGTTAAATAATTTCAAACTATTTATTATATGATTATATAACAACTTATCTTATAAAGTAGTGAGTATTAAACCTATTTATCTTGTCTGTTGTAACCATTTTATTATTTTAAAACAATTTTTCTTTATTAAACAAAAATTTTTCATAATTTTCTAGTCTAACATCAGCGACAGTTTAGATTCAAAGCTTGTTTTGCTGGGTCATAACATTTAACATTTTAGTAGTGATGTGTACATATATTATATTAAGATTTGGTAAAATTTGGTTATATTATGTTTGTAAATATTCCAAAAACCATTGTATAAAGATTCAGTTTTTAGTCTTTTTTTTCTTTTGACAGTTTTTAAGTCATCTTAATATAATGCAGCACCTCTTGGGAGCAGCATGACAATCTGAGATTTTTTTCATATTTATATAATTCTCACAAAAGTAATTTTGGTTGAATGGTTTTTATATTTTATCTTCTTTGTAAGACAATCTACATTGTTCATCATTTGAGTGACTCAGTGTGTTTCAATGTATTTGAATGTTCTCCATTTTCTGACATGCATGCCACAGATTTACATTTTCAAATCAACATTTTCTTTTCCTGTGATATGTGTAATAGCATTTAACTCCTATACTTAAATCAATTAAATAAGTTTTTGAATGAATGAATTCATCTTAATGTTCTTCCAAAGAAAAATGCACAACTGACATTTGTATTTCCCACTTTTACAGTTTTTAAATAACATTCTGATTTTAATTTAACTTCAAATTTTATGGAAGTGTGTTAATTGTCACAAATACAAATTAGTTTTAACTTTAAGAAGATTAAGAATTCTGGTTGTGCATTAATCTGTCACAATTTAAAATCATAAAAGAGTACATCTGGTGCTATTTATCTCTACTTAAATTTAAATTTTTCTTCAGATTCATGTCTTATCAATTCTTGTTAATAAAAATCTTGTTAAGAATGCACCTGAAAGTAGAAAGAAATGAAAGCAAATGTTGTATTTAAGGGACCAAATGAAAAAAAGTATATTACATATATAGTATATATATATAGACAAGTTTATTTTGCTCTAAAGTTAATTCAGGGTCATGTTAGCAATAAACAATTGTGTAGGATATATTCAATATACACTTCACTCCTTACTGAACTTTAAACTGGATTCNCATATTAAATATATTCTGCTAAAACAATCTTTTTTTGAAAATTTCAGTTTTTATTTTTTGAAAAGCATTTCTAGTGTTTGCAACTGTGCCAAGACTGCAGTACAGCTTTAGTTTGCTGCATAGCTCCTTTGTTTTGATTTCCATGGTATACATGTCACATGAAACCACTTATACAGTTCTTTAGTTCTCTTCATTTAATTTTTTTTCCTAAATATTGCACTACACATGGTATTGTATATTTTAAGAGGATTAATAATGACCAAACAGGCCCTATTTTAGAAGTGTTTAATTTGTATCTGTAAAGATACAATTTTGTACTTTACTTTCCATTGTTTATTTTAAGTATATATTTAGCCTATGTCCAGAAAATTGTAAAATCCAGAAATTCAAACAATTTTTGGTGCCAAGCTTGCCAGATAATTGTTTAAAACTGTGTTTAAGAAAGTCTTTGTTAAGGCAGAGCATTAGTGAAGCCTCTTTCTTCAATGTGGCTTACAGAATTCTGATTATTCTCAAAATTTGGTAAATAGAATTTGATTAGAATTTGCAATTTTCATTAATTGCAACAAGGAATCAAAAATGTGATAAAAAATGGGGGAGTCGAAGTCTTCACTTTTGAAATATAGTAGAGTCAAAATGTTTATGCTCTCTGATGTGAATGAGCATACCTAATGGAATTCATATGACAAAAAAGAAAAAGAAACAACATTGCTTGTATCTGAAAAATCGGCATGCAAAATGAGTGCCAAAATGCAAGAACAAATCAACTGATGGCAACAAATGTAAGGATTGCCTGTGTATGCCCAGCAAGTGAAATAATTGCCTATCTGTGCCCAGCAACTGTTTTCTTCTGATCAAAAACACACATCCATACACACATGCATACCCTTGCATACACATTTGAACACATGTCAGCAGTCAAGTTGGAGCAAAAGATAATTTAGTGTATATTAATGTATTAATACTAATTTAAAATTAATTACAAAATTGCAATGTTCTGCCTCAATTCTATTGAGATATGACAAAGTTGCATTCCTAGTTTTATTTTATTACTTCTTTAAAAGTGGCAAAAGCATAAAACAAAGTAAAGAAAAAAATATTTTGAAAATTTGGCATATTGGATCTGTAACTTTTATTATGTTTACAGTTATTAATTTTAAAGTTGATCAATCAGCTGATTAATTTGTATGCCACAGTGACTAGTTCATTTTTACTAATTTTAAAGATAGTTTACTTTCTAAATTTTTGGAAAAACTTTCTAAATCTGTTGTTTTCTATGTTTTGTCTTTAGTCATTTTTTAAAATATTTCATGTAATCTTAATATGCTTCAAAATTATAAAAGATATCCATTTATTTAAAAATAAAAAATTCTAATGGAATTAAATTTCAGAAATTGTTTTGAGATAATTGATGAAAAATATATCAATAGCTGCAAGGACCCGCTTCGCTGGGTTTTTATTTGTTCGTACATTTGTATGTAATATAGTTTTTTTTTTATATATATAAAAGACTGTTTTTCTAAGTAATCTAGAATCTAGCTGCAAGGACCCGCTTCGCTGGGTTTTTAAAAAGTAACAATAGTGAAGATTAAGATAATTACATTATAGCCAATCTTACCCGTTTTCACAAAATGCAAGAATTAGGTCCCCCGTTTCCAGACTAATTAGAGAATTTTTACGTCCAGTCAAACGAACTACTTCAAGTTCAATAAAT